GGAAAGGAAAGGAAAGGAAAGAAGGAGACTAGACTAGACTAGACAGGAAAATGAGGAAGCATGTTAAGTGAAATGGAGCACACTCATTGTTTCTCTTTAAAGGGGAACAGCTGGTCCAACATTTCCACCTCACTAAACGGCACACGTGCCCTCCCCCGGTACAGGAACGCTTCGTAAATAAACACACAAACAGACATGACATTGTACCAACAAACACTAACGCGCACACACACAACTGTCCTCACGCAGCCACAAACATCCGTACAAGCGCAGTCCTCTCTTTCCCAAATCAGCCCACAGGGTGCAGGAATGACTAATGCTGGAGACGCCATGTTATTATTCCTGACAATACACCAGTGATTCACCACAATTATCTGCCACGCTTCCTCCAACAAGTAAACACCCAAATGTCAACCAAACAGACGCTGAACTCTGTATCAAGAGCGACTAAAAAACCCAAAGCACTAGTTTAACCTTTCCCACATGGTTTGTTCAAATTCAGAAAAACTGCAAAATGCTCTGTTGCTGCTGGAACCCGATGCGATATGAAAGGCTGTCCAGCCGTCAGAAATTAGGCCATAACAGCAGATCGTCTACTCATGTGTACTCATTAACTTCCCAGCTGCAAATGATTGAATTCAGTCATGAGTATGAGCAAAAGAAGAGCGACGGCTTACACATTTAGCACTGAAATAGAAAGAGAGAATAAATATGGAGGCCGGTCTACATGGTTAGAGCTGGTTGTTACTGTCAGAAAGGACCAATTGTGCTTGTGTTCGATTTCAATCATGACTCAAAAGTAAAAGCACAATTAAGACATTCTGCCATGTTTCTTCCATTCTCTGAGTTTGAATAATTGATACCCTCACAGCTCCTCTATAATTCACCACCGTCTGATGCGAAGAACAGCAAAAAAGCCGGCTCAGTCTCGGGGTTCTGAAATAAACCTCACATTCTTCAGCCTGTCCATATCCACTCTCATCCCGACGATTAGGAGGAGGTGGAGGAGGAGGAGGCCCCCTGTGGAAAACTCTCCCTCTTTTTCTCCAAATGAGCTTTCATTTCTCATTACTAACAAGCCGGGGGAAATGTAGGCTTATCATAATAATGAAACCTCCCCGGTAGGGTCGGGGTATGGCGGGCAGCCTGTTTCCTCTCCCCTCCTGGAATGCCAGTGTAATGCACATTGTGAGGAACTGGACTGGAAAATCAATGACTCCAGCAGATCCCAAAAAGATCTGGCAGCCAGCGGGCTCGCTCTCCACTCAATCACACATACAGTACAGAGGGCACAAAGCCGTCATGAACCAGGAGGGATTTTTTTACCCCCGCTTTTACTGGAAAAGAAAACAGGTCTGTTGATTGCCTTTTCTTAAAAGGCTAAGCCGTGACCTGAAATTCCAAAAATGCAAACAATTTCAAACAGAAAAATGCTTTACAAAGATGATTTAGCGGGGGTGGGACAGAATAGCACAGGGGTCTGGTTGTCTTCCTCCAGAAAAAAATATGAAAAAGAACATTTGCATTTGCCCTTTTCCTGCATTTCTGTTACATTTAGAGACTACAGCAGAAGTATTCACCTCGCAGCCCGCGAAAGCATCCCATCCAGGCTGCACAATGGCCACTAATGAACCTATTTCAGTATTTGTGTATTTACAGTATTACACACTGGGTATCTGTACCAAAATTCCCAGAGAAAGGTAGTATTAAGTTCTGCTAATGCAAACACAGCTTCACATTAAAAGCATTTAAATAGCAAAACACAAGTAGCACTGACTGCTATCGTACATCCAAAATATGTCTACCAAAGAAGACAACGGGCATTTTGGACATTCTTTGAGAGCGTATCAGTTTGAAATACTGCAGGGAGTAATGGACCAGTAAAGTGCAGCCACAGTGAACTGTTAGATGAAGAGCTGCAGGCACACACACCTTTAACCTCTCAGCCAGGTAACTAAAGTCACCTTCACTGTCACTGTTCAGACTGTGCAGGATAAAAACAGATGCCACAGTTGCTCACAGAATGATGGAAAAAAGACAAATTATTGTTTGACTACTCTAATAAAACCACAATAATTAGTTTTGCCCCCAGTATTCTTTGACCCATAGTATTGAACCACATTTACCACCAGTAACTACAGCTGTCACATGCACAATAACGGTGAAGCTGCATAATAGTATCAAAACCGGTTGAAGTTGATTTATATTTCCTGCATTCTGCAGCCATGTTTCCAGAATTACAGATCTGCACCATCACTACTTAATGAGCTGCCTCCTTGGTGGAGGTCTGAGAGCATTTTCTAGTCTAACAAGTATCTTGTTATCATTATGAATATGTTTTTAGTCCTTTTACACTGATATACACCAATCAGCCAACACTGCATGGCACCCTGGTGCTCAAAATGTTCCCCATACCAACAAACTGTGATACACTGTGTGTTCTGACCCCTT